AACAGAGAAGCAAAGCAGTGTAAAGAAGCGGTGTTCCGGAAGAGAGTTGCAGCCGGAGATCGTGGAGACAAGTTACAGAAACGATCCGTGGATTACAGGAACAAGAGACGACAGGAAAAAGGCAACACGGGGATCTTTTTCTGGAGGAGAACCATCCGCTTCGAGAGAGAGAGAGAGAGAGAGAGAGAGAGAGAGAGAATGAGAGAGAGAATGAGAGAACGGGAGAGCGTGAGACACTGGCCACGTTAGGAGCAGCACAGGACCAAAAGGAGGACACATACCCAAAAGGAGGGTATTATTCGAGTGTGGGGCCTTGCCCAGATCTTCAGTTATATTTTAGAGACTAGATTAACCAGACCTCTGGCTTTATTATTTTCAAGGACCAGTTTTTCACCTGCCAGAGACAATTTCAGTTGAATAAACTCCTTTTGACCTTTTAAATGTCCTCGTGTTTGCTCCCACCACACTTGTGTTGCCCCTCTTGGTAATCCTAGGCCTGGAGGGGTGTAACATTAATTAAAAGAAAAGAGTCCATTCTTCATTCTTCTGTTGAGCTGAAAATTAGAAGCAAATGCATGAGACCTTGATACCATATCTCATGCAGACTAGTCCTGTGTCAGAGGAGGGGGAAAGCCGTCATTTCATTCTGTTACATCATTAAATGTGAGAGGTCTTAAAGATGTTGTTAAAAGGAAAGCTTTATTTTTGTTTGGAAAAGGGCATAAAGCTCAATGTCTGTTATTGCAAGAAACTCATTCTTCTGATGTGGATGTAAAGTTTTGGACAAACATGTGGGGGGATAAAATATTGTTTAGTCATGGAAGCACTAAGTCAGCAGGGGTGGATATTTGTTTTTACAAGTTTCAGGGGGAGGTTGTTACTTACAGAAAGGATGAAGGGGGGCACTGGTTAATGGCAGTCTTGTTGATTGATAGTTGTTTTTTTGATATTGGTCAATGTTTATGGTTATAGAATTGTTACCCTAAATAAACAGATGTTAAGGAATATTGGCGAGGGTATAAGTGAGCAAAAAACAATGTATCCCACAGATTCCATCGTAATGGGGGGTGACTGGAACATGACTTTGGATCAGGGGTCCTCAAATATAATGGTCCGAGGGCCACACACAAAAAAGACCCAGAAGCAAGAGGGCCGGGGGAGGAGATGGGGTGCTGCTGCTGCTTGGATCGCTGGCTGTAATGCACATAACACACAAGCTTGCAATATAAAGCAGGACAACACCTGTCCCCCTCCAGCTCGGCTGTGTGACTGCACTAACCTGTCCTGTGGGACCCTCACCATGTAACCCTCATGTCCATGCTGTCTCTGGAGGAGCAGATAGGAAACAAGATCTCCTGTAACTTAAAATGATCCAAAGCTTCCTCCCAGTTTCTCTTTAAGCTGAATTTAACATCAGTTTATCATCATGAAACAAAATAATAAAGTGGAACAAGAACTTCTATCTTCTATTTCTCTCTCCTTTTAACTTCTCCGTGTCCCTAAATAAAAGAGACAAATGATCACGCAGCCGCTGTCACTGTCCCTGCTCCCTCCCCGATACCGGATCTCCCGACATCACAGCACTCGGTCTGACTGAGCGCTTCGAGGAGAAATAATAATGAAATTATGAAAATAATAAAGCGTGTTTGGAAGGGTGTCCTCCGATCCTCTCTCTTGTGTGAGCAAACAATCTCCCTCTCTCTCTATCTCTCTGTTTCAGTCGCTGATCGAGTGAGCGGAGCACGCCACGCAACAACCCGTTCAATTAACATAATTCACGGCCCATATCCAACAGAACCGATTTGGCTGATTCGGTTCGGGTTCGGTCTCAGGTTACAACTACAGTGCTCAACCCTGCAGTACCACATAAAGGCAGACCAAAGTTTCCTACCCACTCTGACAGATGTGGATGCTACGGTGGTGCCGCCGTTAAAATAACAAAACTACAATCCACTATAATTGATTATGGTATTCGTCTATGATGCAGAATCGTTTATGCCCGTATCTCATGCATTGATTATTTGATTATTTTCCTCAGCTCTATCCATCCTACACCTCTCGATCGGACCTCGGGGGTGGGGGTGGGGGGTGCGCGCGGGGTTTGGGGTCCACAAAGAGAGGGCGCGTGGGCCGGACGTGGCCCGCGGGCCGTCATTTGCATAAATGAGAAGATAGATCACCCTCAAGGTTTCAAAGTCACCAATTTAATTCTCTTATGGTCGAATTTAGCAGGGATAATTATCTGATGGATATTTGGAGGGATAAGAACACAGGGAAGAAAATGTTCTCTTGGTATAAACCTAACGAAACCGCAAAATCGAGAATTGACTACTGGCTGGTTACGCAGTCATTGGAAACATTTGTCTCTGTTACTGTAATCTCCAAAGCTCCAATAACAGATCACTGTGTAATTGAAATAACATTGAATTCAAAGAATAGGAATAATAAAAGTAAGGGCTATTGGACATTCAATGCTAATCTGCTAAATGATAAAGAATACTGTGGAAAAATAAAAGGAATATTAGCAATAGTGAAGGATGATAAAATAGAGAGCTTCTGCAGCAAATGGGAATATGTAAACTTAAAAATTAGAGAATAATCGATTATGAAGAGTAAAGAATTGAACAAAGAAAGAACAAAGCAGGAATGTGAGCTTCTGCAGGAGATTACTAGGTGCTGCAACAAAATAGAAATGACTAGTGAGGATAAGGAAAACTTACTATATCTACAAGCCAAATTGGATGATTTTTATAGGAAGAGAGCCCAAGGAGCTTTTGTACGTTCAAGAGCAAAATGGATGGAGGAGGGAGAGAAAAACACAACATATTTTAGCTAAATGGAGAAAAGAAGACAGTTAAATAAAGCCATCTCAAGCTTGCTGATTAATGGTACAGAATGCAAGGATAATAAAATGATCGAGAGAGAAGTACTTCAATTTTATAGTGAGCTTTATTCCTCAGCCTTTTCTACGAGGGACACAACTACATTTTTTAACTTATTGCATAAACAAATACCCATCATTGATAACACATTTAAGGAAACGTGTGAATCTGATTTTAAGATAGAAGAGCTGGATGCAGTCGTTCTGAAGCTTGCAGCAAACAAAGCCCCGGGTACTGATGGACTCACGGCTAATTTCTATCATTTCTTTTGGAGAGAAATCTACTGTTCAAAGCAACACAGGAATGTTTAGAGAAGCAAGAACTAACAACAAGCATGAAACAAGGCATTATAACATAAATTCCTGAACAAAATAAAGATAAAAGAGTGTTGGATGACTTGAGGCCTATTACACTGCTGAATACTGATTAGAAAATACTTTTTGGATGTGAAGCAGCTAGAATCAAAACCGGTCTGTCTCAAAATATTCATGAAACACAATCTGGCTTTCTAGGAGGGCGTTCTATTCACAACAATATACGGCTGGTTTTGGATTTGATTGATTAGTCAGGAGTTGTCAGTGGAAGGATTTATTCTGTTTCTGGTTTTTTGTAAAGCTTTTGATTCAGTAAAACACTCTTTCATATTAAATACTTTAGGTCATTTTGGATTTGGCCTGAAATTCATCAGCGTGATCGGTGTGTTATACAGGGACATCAAATAGCAGTGTTGCATTAGAACATGGCACCTGCTCAAGATTTGAAATCAATAGAGGTATTAGACAGGGTTGTAGTAGCTCTCCTTTACTATTCATTATGGTAACAGAATTACCATCAGTTATGTTAAAAAAAAAGAGTAATATTGAAGGCTTGCACATTTTAGATAAACACATATTAGTCAATTCGTGGATGACACATTATTTTAAAAAAATAAAAATCAAATATCTAAGGCATTAGACTCAATTAGTAAATTCTCTAAAGCAGCCAGCCTAACATTAAATATTAATAAATGTGAAATTTTTGCTTTACATGAACAATCTGAAAACTCTATTTGTGATGTGGCAGTTAAAAAACAGATCAAATATTTAGGCATAGTGATTACCAAGGACAAAGAAATAAGAGAGAGAGAAAATATTAGCAAGAATGTGAACAAGTGTAAAACTATTTTGGACTCGTGGTTAGAGAGAGACATCACTGTATTTGGAAGGGTCCTGATAACAAAAATGGAAAGTCTGTCAAGAAGTATATATCCTGCTTATTCACTCAAAATCTGACAAAATGATTAAACTTATCAATGGTATGAATTATAATTTTATTTGGAAAAATAAATGTCAGTATATTAGGAAAGCTGATGTGGTCAAGGAGATAGATAAGGGTGGTTTAAATGCTATCGATTTTGCGGTTATGAATGGTGTGCTTAAGTTGAGATGGCTTAGTGTATTTGTACAGTTTAAACATTCCCTTTGGTTGTCATGTGCCGGGGTGAGTACTCCTCTCATTTTCCCATCTTTGAGTTGTGTGTTTCAGGAGAGGGAGGCTCCAGCTGCAGCTGATTTGCAATCAGCAAAGTTACAAAGTTACAAAAGGAGGATGGAGAACACTCCTCGACGCCGGATGATTATTACAGCTTGGTAGTTTCCAGCGACTCTTGGATTTAGTGCTCTAGTGTTTCTAGGATGTTTTGTTAACCTTTGGATCTGATCTTGACCTGATCTTTTCCCTGTGCTTACCCGTTACCAGGTTTTGGAACGTTTTTGGACTTCTGTGACTTCTTTGGATTACGTCTCTGGTTTCTGCGACTCCTCTGGATTACGTCTTTGGATTTCTGCGACTCCTCTGGATTACTCACCTGTGCCCCATAGGATTTCCGGACGCAGCTCTCACCATTCTCCATTCCTCCCGGCCGGCCCGCTCTCCTCTCGCTCCCTCTCCTGGACACCCCACTTGGATTCACCCCGGCACCCAACCTACCCTCCCTCATTCCTACGCTCTCCTACTTCCAGTAAGTCTATTCTCTACACCCACCAAGTTTAGACTTACCTTCCTGGACTAACCTGCACAGTAAATTTTCAAGTTGCAAATCAACATTTAGAGTTAAATTTAACACTGAGTCCGAGTGTATTTGGTCTTTATCGGAAATGGTGTTAAATCAACACTTTCCACATAGTTGACATTTTACAGGGTATATACAGCAATCCTTAAGTAAAATTTACTACTTTTTAATACTTTTTTTTACTACCTTCAGAATTTTTTTAAAACCATCACAACACTTAATTGCAAGTGTTAATCAGCGACCTATTTACACATATTTTAACATATATAACATACAAAAAGAATAGACTTAGAGACTCACTGATGTTGACAACGTATTGCACATATTTATTTTACTTAGAAAATAAGCCAGGCACTTCTGTTCAGCGGTCCAGACAGTTGACCACGAGGCCTGAAATGATGCAGAACGACCACTGAATATGACGTCATCATTATGTGACCGGATATGCTAAAGTAGGGCTGCTCGATTATGGCAAAAACAATAATCACGATTATTGTGACTGAAATTGAGATCTCGATTTTTTAAGACGATTTTTCAATTCATGTAGATTTTTGTTTTTGTTTTTATTCAGTCATAAAACTGCTCAGGGCACAATCAGGGCAAAAATAAACAAGAAGCAAGATGATCACTAAAATAACTCCCGATTCCCAGTATAAAAAGACCAATGTACTTGTGGCAAGGTGGATAAATGAGAGCCCAGGCAGGATTCGATCCCCAGACTCCCAGGTGAGTCATACTCTCTAACCAGTCAGCCAAAGAGACATCCCCTTGGCCAAGTAGCCAGGACGCATAATCTATCGGGACACTGTGACAGGACACTCACACTGCCACATACTTATAGCTCATAGTTTATGATCCAAGGGCTGTAGACCTTGGTTTAACTCATTTAAGTCTAACCAGTACAGACCCAAATACCAATATCTTGCAAATACTGACAACAAGAATTATACAGTGGCATTTATAACAAATACATGCAAATTGATGTTCACAAAATTTTGCATAACATTTATTGAGTCCTGTCAAGGTGCTCTAGGAGCGTGCACTAGCACCGTGTCCTCAGAGAGATTAGTTATTAGTTATCAGCGTGAGGAACTCATTTCTACCTTATTTATAAACTATTTATTTACAAGTCGTCCGTCAGTTAATGTAATAATTGTCACAACCACAGCTGCACCCCCCACCCCCCAACCCGGTCTCACAGCTATCAGGGGCAAGCTGCACGCGCACGCGCCGCACGCGCACATTTAGCCGTTTTTAGCGGCTCAGGAGTCCGCAGGTACGGTGTGTGTGTCACTCACTCTGGTTACTCCAACAAGAAGCCGGCTCCGAGAGCTGTCTTTAGCGACTATCATTCCCTTTCCTAATGTCCTGAAGAACGGTCCGCAGCGCAGGCGGAGTGTTTAGCTAACCTGCAGGAAACGTCTACGACAGTTATCCAGAAAGTAGCTAAGGGTTACCAGAGATGTTTCTGAGGTGTTCTAGGTACTTTTAAGATTTAAAAAGTCAAGAAGGGGGTCTGAAAAGCTGTTGGAAATAGCGTCAAAGTCGCTAAGTTGGCAACACTGTGAGGAGCGCTTCATTTGCAACTCAGGGCAGCGTAAGTGGGAGGAGCACATAATCGGCTTGTTTTGTTTTTATAATCGTTCATAACATTTCATTCGGAATATATTTCTATGTCGATGTTCAGAATACGACACCTGATAGTCCGAAAAAATTAATACCTAATTTGGAAAAAATAATACCTCTGTGACCAAATTTAACACTTTTAATGGCCTTAAATTTGACTATTTTTATTTATCACTTTTTAATACTTTTTAAAACCCCGCGGACACCCTGTTTTAGTGTTAAATTAACTCAAAAATGAGTTATAATTTAACACTGACTAACACTGAATAGCGTAAATTAAGTTTAACACTAGAGATTTAATAACTCTAGAGAGAGTACATGTGAATCTCAGAAGTGTTTGAAAGTTACTCTACTGTGATGAAAAAAATAATCCAAATTTTAATGCATTTTAACACTACATTGAGTAATTGAAGGTTCACACTGGAAGCAAAAGTAACACTATTAAGTGTTAATTCTACACACTTGTGTTGGAGATTCACTCTGTTGCTTTGAATAAACAACTCTGATTCAAGTCATTAACACTGCTCAGAGAAATATGTAGTGTTCTTTTAACACTTCCAAGTGTCAAATCATAGAATACTTTTAAATAATGAATTAAAACAACTTATTAAAACAAAGTGCATTTAATAACTTTTATTCCACAATGCTCATTTTAAGACATTTAATATTTGTAAACCAAGGTTTCAAAATACAAAAGAACTGAAACTGTTCACTTCAGAAGCACCTGCCGTGCCAGGCACCCAAATTGCTCACCTCCCAACAATTTCAAACATTTAGACAAACAAACTTCAGTGTAAAAGCAAGATCATATAACTTTACTTGCAGTGCCTTTCCAAGTAAATTGTAAAATAACAATTAGTTGCAAGTGTGCTTTCTGAACCAAGCCACTGATCTGAAGTCAGCATAAAAATCTTTAATGAAAAATATAACTTTTGAGCAATTTAACATCACTACTTAAAAAAATGACCCTAAGTCTGCATAAAATGGTAATATGGAACAACATATAAGGCGGTATCTGTTGTACAGTACTTCATTTGAACATCAAATGGTTTGAAGTAAAAAATATCATTAACATGCAACACTTTCAGAACCTTGTCTGGATGCAGCTTGACCTTAAAGGTGTGGTAATGGTTATCAAAACACATGATTTCCATCAACTTTCCACAGAGCAAAACAAAGTCATCTTTCACAAAAATCATGTCAGTCTTACAAAATACAGGCATCTCACATGCTACCTCGGTACATACAATGAAGTCACGACGGTAATCTGTCCCATAATATTTTATCCATTTGGCAGAAAACACACAGGTTGACAAAACGGTTCCAAATTTGGCAGCAATCACTTCACCCTGTTCTAATTCATAAAGTTTCACCATCTTTCCAGGACCTACAATTAATTTTTCCTTGCTAAAAGATTCATGATACATTGCCATATAACTTTGGTGCTTTTTTGCTAATGTCTTTGTGATGTTTTTGAAGCTTTTTAATTGTTGCTTGAAGAAATTATGTTTAGCTTCATAACGCATGCACCATGTGTGTAAAATTGGACCAATGTGGTTTATGCTACGAGGGTAGTGTATCATGAAATGGTATTTGGGCGGAGGTTTTTTTCGGGAAATAATTGCTTGAATAGCCGATGATGTTCAACAATCAAATGTTTGATGTATATGGTCATGCCTTCTGACAGTACAGGGGAAAAAACAATGTTAACAATATGTAAAAGCAAGAGTAGGAGTTGCCAATGTTTATCATCCATCTCGAACAAATCACCAAATAGCAATGGTAAATTTTGCAGTAAGCACCAAGCCTGTGTGGCATTTAAACCCAAATCATTACTTTCATCCATTAACTTATCCGTTGTTATAGGTGGACGGTTTCGCTGCTGATGAAAACCGTAGTCATATGCGTGTATTCTACCAGCCACTTCGCCAGCACTTAGGAAGTTCCCTTGAATGTATTTCAGAATCAGTTTCACCTCAAACTGACCAACGCCTTCTAAAATATTGTGCATTATGTCAACTGAGAAATCATTTGCTATGTTAAAATACTGAAGTGATATCAACAGACAACTGCATTTTACATCATAGACATGGGGCAACCTTGGATCTGTTTGTGCAGTTTGACAGTGCTGTTCATGCACATCAACATTCTTAAAACAACTTCTGGATCATCTTCAGAGAAAACAGTTTGAAAACAGTGTTTTTCAAGAAGACAGAAATGACAGCAATGACGTGCCCCAAATGACTCCACAAAGCCACACAGACTATGCAAACCAAGACTGTCTCCCGTCACCTGTACTACAGTACCATGAATAACATGTCCAAAAGTTGGAATCTGAAGTCCCTCTGTTTCAAGCACTTTGAGATCATTAATAAGGGGTTCAAGTATCAAATTGAAGCCATAACGCTTGATGTCCTGTGCATACACAAATGAATATTGTTTAAGGATGAATTAAAGATGGGGGGGGAAATTTCTTAGTGTAAAATATATGGCACCTAATTTATGCAAACCTTTTTTTGATCCCAGGACATTTGCGGTTTCAAAGTTGTCATAAAATAGCTGAATCTGCAAGGCATTTTTTTAATAGAAAAAAGGGGACTTTCTTTAAAATAGGTGCCATCTCTCCAGTCTGCATAAACATCTTTCTTGGGAATATACCTGGGCTTGAACAAGTCTGCTATATCTTCTTTCTGTAAAATACTCAAGTGTTTCCAAAATGGGAATATATGCAAACCTGTCTGTTACTAGGGCTGGGGGTAAACGATTATTTTTAAAACGATTATTCTGACAATTATTTTATCGAATAGTCGACTATTCTAATGACTATTTAGAAAATTAATCTAATGATTATTTTTCTATTGCACAGTTAATAAAAACCAAAAAATCTCTAATAAATTCCTCAAAAAAAAAAGATAAATTGTTACTGTAAGAGAATAAACACTACAGGCCTTCATTTTGTATAACACTGCTTTTATTGTGTTGGTTGGTTATGTTCTGGTGACGTGTAGAACTTGGGAGTGCAGGCTGCTGCCTGAGAGTTGGTTGGAGAGGGAGTGTCTCCATGCTGCTTTGTTTTGGTCACTTGTGTGCGTGAGGCGAGTGGTGTTACGACGCTTCCTGGGGAGTTTGGCTCGTGTGCAAAAAAGGAAGGGACAATAACACGGGATTTAAAAGTTAAAATGATGATCAGGTTTATTTACAACTACAAAAAATCATAAACCTTTCCATCCACAGGTTGGGAATAATAAAACTAATTCTGCCTGTGGGGAATTAAAACAAAAGTACAAATAAGTAGGGATGTCCCACTGGGCAAAGATTACTGGGTTCTGGACAAAAATAAGAATCTCCAAAGGTCCAACTCTAAACTGGGTGGTTAAACCAAACTCAAGGTGATATTTTAAACGAAACCAAAAACCCACAACACTCTAAATGTAATAAAAGGGAGATCAACGCCACAAAAAAATGAACTCTAAACCAAAACGTAACAGCTTATCCAAATGCAAGAAGCTGTTAGCGAAAATGCTAACAGTAGCTTTACCAACGTTACGTTCAAGTTACCAAGTTTAAATAAACCAAAAACACCCAGCAGCAAACAGACCAGCACGGAGGAGAGACTGCTACCACCAAAACAGCTCTCCTAATGTCTGAAAGAAGCTCCCTTATGAAGGGAGAAACGCTCCCGGTGATGTTCTACATCTGCGGTAGAGACGGAGCAGCGCATCTGACCCCGGAAGTTGTTGTCCGTTGCCGGGAGACGAAGGCGGGCAAAACAGGAAAGGAATCTAGTAGTGGACGGACATTATTCCGGGTCTTCGGTATTTGGCGGAGATGTTAGTGAAGGTGGAGAAGAGGGCGAACTAGAGGAAAAACATGCAGATTCCTCTTCTATTTACAAACTCCTGGGGATGCAACAAGTGGGCGCGGTGCGTCGACTACCGGATCTGACGTCGACAAATTTTTAGAATCGAGCCGTCGACGTCATCGATGCGTCGCTACAGCCCTATCTGTTACGATTACTTGGTCATACGTTCCTGTAGTTTTGTTTCTTCTGCTGTCGAATCTCGTACCAATCACTTTTTGAACTGGCTCAACAAGCCCCCATTTTTCTCTTGTTTAGTTTTGATTCTGAATTTTAAGGTGTGAATGGATTTTCTAACAATTGGAAAGATTGTTCCACCTTGTTTCTTTTTTCTGTATCCTGATCGGACAAGCACTGTAGAGCCACATTTTTTGCTTGATTGTGAATCTCAAAAACCACTTCTTCCATGGATGACACAAACCTCTTAACATTAGACTGACTTAATCCTGCTGCTTTGAGTTGTGAAATAGCAGTAGCACACATATGTAGAAGAAGAAAAAAAATATCATTTCTATAGCGAGTCTCAAGATAAAAATCACGAGGCGCTTCACAAAAACAAAAATGTTAAAATATAAAAAAGCATTTAGAAAATGTTTAAAAATATATTTAAAATGAGCAAAAATAGGCTATTAGGATTTAAAAGAAAAAATGTTAAGAAAGAGAGAGAGTGAATAGGAAAGAGGGAAATCAGTGGATCCTGAGGAAGGTGGAATAGGTGGGGAGAGCAGAATAAAGAGAGGGGTTGAAGGTCATACAAAAGCCAGCTTGAACAGGTGAGTCTTCAGCTGCTTTTTAAAGGAGACCACTGAGTCCACTGATCTCAGACTCAGGGGGAGAGTGTTCCAGAGTCTGGGGGCCACAGCAGCAAATGATCTGTCACCTTTGGTCTTTAGCCTGGTGCTGCACAACCAGTAGGCTTTGATCACTGGACCTCAGGGACCTGCTGGGGGTGTAGGGACTAAGAAGATCACCAATGTAAGATGGTGCTTGTCCATGTGAGGACTTATAGACCAGAACCAGGTCACCTTCGTAGCATCTGGAATCGGGTGGAGTTATTTGTCCTGATTATTGAGTGAGTGTTTACTTATTTACTATTTGCAGATGAAAAACATTGTTTAATTTTAACTGAAGTGACAGATTTAAAACGTTTAATTTTTTTTTCACCTGTCAGGATCGTGGACTGCTTCCTTTTTTGGTCCCAGATGCACTTGAGGATCAGCTACCCACTGAAGGTGGTCAGGCTGATTATCAGAGTGAGGGGTAAGTTGATGACGGAGCACAGAAGGACCTTTGTCTGCCACCATTCAAACACCAGCCTTCACTTTTAGTACTAACAAATTTATAATAAATGGATTTGTGTTTAGATCCATCCCTGGAAATCTGGCATTTAATAAATGATTTATTAAATGCCAGATTTCCAGGGATGGAACACGTATTCATGAAAACGTATTTCTAGTGACTCATAAACAACATGACGTTTGTGAGGAGCCACAAGGGGAAGGTTTCGTCAAACATCTAAACATCTGGTTGTTTGTGTCTACATTCCTGTAGAACTGCGAAGGTGGATCAAGAATGTGACAAAAATTATACCCATCGTAGGACAGTACATTCTGATGTACCTGTTTATAGTGTACACCTTTGGCAACATGGGGGTCCATCTGTGGGCCGGCGACCTCCGCCAACGGTGCTACGAGCGACCTGGACCCTGTGTAAGGCGATTATTTTGTCTGCTCCTCTCATCTCTCTCTGTAGGACCACTTCATGTGTGTTAATTTTGCTGCTTTAAAAAACACTCATCCTTCAGCCCAGCGCATTTGTTTCACCATGAAGATTTTGTGCCTTAGAGTAGAAGACAACTTTTATTTGATTTTAGATTTTGGATGTGACAGTCTTGTAAATGTTGCAGCCTATAATCTCTTCTTTCTGTTCTTTTCTAATCCCAAAGTTTGAAGCTGAACACGAGCAAGTACTATCAGTCCTCTCCTGATGAGGATTGTGAATTCCTCTGCTCGCCGAACCCCGACGGGATACGCCAGTGTAAGGACATTCCTCCGCTCCGCCAGAATGGACAGACCTGCATGTTGGCCCCACCCAGTGCAAACTGGTCATCTGCACTACTGGCCAACAGCAGCGCCTTGTCCAACTCAACGGCCTGCGGCAACTGGAATGTCCTTTATAACACGTCTCTTCCGCTGGGCCAAATCCGGTGTTTGGGGGCATCAGCTTTGACAACGTTGGATATGGGATGCTCACGGTATACCAGGTGGGAATCAGCCTAAATCTGCCCACAGGATCAAGGTTTCTGACCCGTTTGATTATTTGTTACATTTGTGAATTCTAATGCTTTAATAGACGTTACACATGATGTTTGTGATTTTAATCAGGTCACCACACTGGAAGGATGGACAACCATCATGAACTACGTGATGGACGTCTCCTCCGGGGCCAGCTTTGTGTTTTTCTTCATCCTCCTTGGTGTAAGTATCTGCTTGACTTTTAAATACTGCTATTTTATGGGGTTTTGCACCAACATGGTTGTTGTCGTTTTACAACAAGCTAGGAGAAGATGTGACATTCTTCTCCTCTTTGTGTCCCTCTAATCAGATGGTCTCCTTCCTCGCCATCAACACGTTCCAGGTGATAGTCGCCCTTCACTTCGTGAAGGCTGATGATGATGTGAACCTGAACGTGAGAGGGGCTTCTTTGTGGACGGCTTGGACCTGCTGTACAGGATGAAGCTGTACTTGTGGGAGCATCGCTGCGTCAGGTACAGATGTTCACACAAACACTCATTCAGTCGGGTCTCTGGGAGCTGCTTTGGTCTCCAGCCGTCACCTTGGACAGGTCGCCACGTAGAGACCAAGATGACACAAAAGCAGTCACACATTCACTCACACCACAGCAAATCCCATCACTGCTGAAGCTGAACGTGCACGGAAGCAGTGGGATCCGCTCATTCTCTCTCTCTGTGTCTCAGATTGTCCACGGTGAGTGACCGCTGGTGGAGCAGCCAGAGCCGCTCACGTTCGGTGAGACTAAAACACGTTCAGCTAATAGATTTTTTTTTGCTCATCCTCCAGCAACTCTGAACCCATTATCCTCATTCCCAGTTTGACCCCCAGTCCCCGAACATGGAGAAGATTAAGTGTTTCCTCAACAGCGACTTGTTGGAGTGGATCCTAACGCTCACCATCTTCGCCAACCTAATCGCCATGTCCATTGAGCACTACGGCCAGGTAAGATCCTCTAAAGTTATTTTATCTGTTTTTGTTTTGTTTGATAATTGAATGTTTGACAGTGAAACACGCCGGTGTCATGCTCTGTGTCCCTTTGGTCCCCCGCTCCCTCCAGGTGTCCCTCATGTTCCCCCTAGTCACTTCACTTGTTTTTAGTTATCTATTTGTTCAGATTATCTAGTTGTATCTCCTTTAGGGTGTTTCCTTCCCCATTTAGGTCATTAGTTTACTTATCTTTAGTTCTTCTGTGTCTTTGTTCTACAATGTTTAGGTTTATTTTAGTTTAGTAGCTTTGTTTTACAGGATTATGGTCTGGTGTTCTCCCCTGCCTGTTTCTGCTCCTCCTCTCACTTTATTTGTCTCACCTGTGCCCAATTCCCTTAATCACCCAGCCCCTGTGTATATAAGCCTAATTTGTTGATCCATTGTCTTTGTCAGCGTTGTTCTAGGTGCCTCCTGTGCTTTTGAGTTTTTTGTTACTACTACAGAAATATTCTTATTTTTGCAACCGCTCCTGCCTGTGTAGTTCTGGGTTCTTGCGTTTTGGGTCCAAGCCTCCTACCCTCAATGTGACAGCCGGACTGAAATGCACTTACAGATGAACACTTGCACCGTCTAATTCTATGGAATGAAAAGCATGGTCATCAGGCTAATGATGACACAGTCTACTGTTTTTATTATTATTGTCACCGAGGTTTTATTTTGGCTGCTTCTGTAGAAAGTAGACAGTTCTCCTCTGTCAAATCTCCAAAACAAGAGTTTATAACAACTCCAATAGTATATCAATGTTTTCTGGTAAAAATGTAAAAACCAGCTGAGTGATCTCATGTTCATGATGTTCTTGACTCTGGAGCTTCTCCTCCTGAAGCCCGAGGCTCTGACCACAGCCCTGGACACGTGCAACTGTGTGTTTGTTGGGATATATTCATTGGAGTTGGTGGCAAATGTCCTCCTGCACAGGATAGAGTACTTCACTGATTGGCGGAATCTTGTGGACCTCACCACCATCATCATCGGGTAGAACAATCTCAGTCAACCTTTGCTTTTGAGAACTGGTGGTTTATTTTTTGCTGTGATAGCCATTTTTGTTGTTTTCTCAGCATTGTGGAAATCGTGTGGCAAACAGAGACCAAACTCTATGTCCTCCGTGCGTTCCGCATCACTCGGATCAGTATGCTGAACAACTTCTCGCCTAAGCTGAAGAGGCAGTACGAGATCCTGAAGCAATCCATCAAGCACACGCTGCATCTCTTCATGGTGTTTTTTTTTTTCGCAGTCCACATCTTCAGGCATGTACACACACACACACAATTTGCTATAATAAGGATCTGGCTGACTCTCGCTGCAGCGTGTGGGGCATGGCGTTGTTCAACCGTGAGAGCTTTCCACCGCCGGAGGTCAAGGGACTCTGTCATCCCCAGGCCAGCTTTGACTCGCTGGGGTGGTCTATGCTCACCGTCTTCCAGGTATTATTTCCTTCATAATATTCAGTCGTGACTTGACTCCGTTTTTTATAAATGTTTGCTTGTTTTCATTTCAGATCATCACCGGGGACAAGTGGAACGTGATAATGTACAGTGCAATGCTCTACAACTCCCCAATCATCGCACTGTACTTTATCACTGTCATAACCATTGGGAAGGACCTCCTCCTAAGCTTCCTGGTGGGCACGGTCATGGTACGCTTTGACCGTACGGTATGAATCTGCCTCTGCACACCACCACAGAGCATTTTCTTAATTGTAGAACAAGGAGCCTGAAATGTTTTGTTTTCCCCAGACATCATCTGTAGAAACCGACTCCTCCAGGTCCGAGTCTCGGTCGGACCCTTTGTCTGCCTCTTCAGGACCACCAACCGGCTTGCCGTCTGGACCTGTAAGTTACTCTGAAGCAACCTGTCCTTTAAATCCACTATTTGAGAAGCAACACCACCTTAAGACGGGTGCATTCAAGTGCTGCTTTTTTAAATGCGTCACTTTTCTCACACACACTTTTGTTTATGTAGACGCCCGAATCCAGCGGAAGTAGCGGCAGCTGGCCCAGCGAGTTGAGGGTCAACAGAAGCCCAAGCAACGTAAGTCTGAGACGAGACTTTTGTCAAAGTTCAGATTTTTCACTTGTGTTTTAGTAACAGAGTTTGTCTTGTTTCTGTCCATGAGCACGAACAAAGTGTGGTTACTGGAAGTCTCTAAGATGATTTCAAGATCCTGTTAGTAAAGTGTGGTTACTTGTGTTTTTCTGCACAGGCACGGAGATGCTCCAGCCAGAGGAGTAGTGCCGGGTTCCAGAGCAGCTCAGAAGATGGGAGGAGCCCCAGGACCCAGCGCAGCTCAAAGGCCAAGAAGAGCCCCAGGTTCCAGAGCAGCTCAAAGGTTTAAAGGAGTGCTGGGACCGTTTAGTTAATTTTCAAGTTTTAATGTTCAGGTTAACAAAATGTTTTAATTTTGGTTATGAAGCAAAACTGTGTTTTAGTGCTTTTGCTCTTGGTGTCAAACTAAAAACTTTGTTTTTGGTGTCAAACTAAAAACTTTGTTTTTGTTTGACAAAGTTGTCATGTTGTTTAGCAACAGTTTGGTATTTCTGGTTGTTTTGATTAGATTTAATTAAAGGTTTGTAAGTGGCTCAAACATCAGGGTGTAGCATCCGCACAGTAAATTTCCAAGTTGCAAATCAACACTTAAAGAGTTGTACTACAGTACCATGAATAACATGTCCAAAAGTTGGAATCTGAAGTCCCTCTGTTTCAAGCACTTTGAGATCATTAATAAGGGGTTCAAGTATCAAATTGAAGCCGTAACGCTTGATGTCCTGTGCATGGAACAGAGCACATAAATGAATATTGTTTAAGGATGAATTAAAGATGGGGGGGAAATTTCTTAGTGTAAAATATATGGCACCTAATTTATGCAAACCTTTTTTCGATCCCAGGACATTTGCGGTTTCAAAGTTGTCATAAAATAGCTGAATCTGCAAGGCAGTTTTTTAATAGAAAAAAGGGGACTTTCTTTAAAATAGGTGCCATCTCTCCAGTCTGCATAAACACCTTTCTTGGGAATATACCTGGGCTTGAACAAGTCTGCTATATCTTCTTTCTGTAAAATACTCAAGTGTTTCCAAAATGGGAATATATGCAAACCTGTCTGTTACGATTACTTGGTCATACGTTCCTGTAGTTTTGTTTCTTCTGCTGTCGAATCTCGTACCAATCACTTTTTGAACTGGCTCAACAAGCCCCCATTTTTCTCTTGTTTGTTTAGTTTTGATTCTGAATTTTAAGGTGTGAATGGATTTTCTAACATTTGGAAAGATTGTTCCACCTTGTTTCTTTTTTTGTATCCTGATCGGACAAGCATTGTAGAGCCACATTCTTTGCTTGATTGTGAATCTCAAAAACCACTTCTTCCATGGATGACACAAACCTCTTAACATTAGACTGACTTAATCCTGCTGCTTTGAGTTGTGAAATAGCAGTAGCACACATATGTAAAGTACTGGTATTGGACTTTGTCAATAAAGTAGATGTTGTGGCCATCTCCTCTACATTATTAGCCACCAGTTCTCCTACATCACCAACTTCTGCTCTGCTTGACATGACATCATCAGTAACTTGTTCTAGACCTGGGTGTTTTGCATTTAAATGTTTTCTAAACCCAGAAAATGTTCCAAGCACACGCCCACATCCAGACTGAGCACATTTAAGGTGAAGATTTTTTCCATCCAAATAACCATGAACTAACCTCAAATGCCTAACAAGTGTATTTGCGCAAGTTAACTCAGCGTGACAAACAAAACACTTCATGTCAAACAGATCTTTCAAGTACTAATGAAGCAACCTAGCACGAACTTCTGCGACACGGGGACTCTCCTTTACTTTGCCGACATCTATGTTGTACACAGTTGTCTGGATGAATGTGAACATGTTGTGCAGCATAGGGTTGTATGTTGTGGTGAAAACATAATGCACCTTAAAGAGTTCGTCAAAGGTACCAAGTGATGAGGTTGACCTGCAAGTGATGGCATTTTTGTCAATATGACAAAGAACTGGTGGACTTTTTTCTTGCTTCGTCCTACAGCCAGAAGGTAGGGTTGTGTGCTTGTCGTGATGGAATCAAGATGTTCTTGGATGTTTGTTCCAGTCTGAGTAAACACAAAATAACACATGGTTAGACCATTAATATTGTATAGCATTATTACACATAAAAAAATCTGCTGTGTGTATATCCAATTTTGAATTGCAAGTCAAAGATTCTTCAATAAATTCACATTTTACAATAAATTTAGGAAAAAATACAAACCTTCTTGAAGACCACCAGATGCTTCTCTGCTTGGGAAGTAGACACCTTCCCTGGTCTCTTACAGCCCTGAGCAGAGGGAGGAATCAGATACAACAGGAGCAAAATCAATGCGAGGTCACTGTCCCAACCTGTAACAGCATAAATTTGATGTTAATAGGACAATCAACTGATATATATAAACAATATATCGGCATCAATATCGGTATCAGCCAATTTAAGTCATTTTTTAACAAATCAGTGTCGGTTCGGTAAATAAAACCGGGCTGATATTAACAACCGATATTTTTCCCATCTTGTCTCCATTTGTTTGCCTGTTTCAGAGGGTGGGGGGGGGTGGTGTGTATTTGTTTAGTCATGTGACAGAATGTAATCATCTCAGAACCGTAAATGTGTGTAGTGTGTGTAAATACTACCGTAAATTCAGCTTTAATAATTTTCATTCTATACAAAATTTGCTGATTTTAGAAGCATTAATGTCAGTTAATCAGTATCGGCCATAACAGTGATCTTAATATTAAATATCGGTATTGGCCCAAAATTTCATATCGGTGCCTCACTATTTAAAACATTTACATGTGGGGTAACGTTAAGTGTCAAAGACTATTCCTGTGTTTTTGTTATAATTAGAGTCTTCATTAGACTCACATTTTTTATTTAGACTAATTTAAAGTGTTCTAAATGTTACATCTGCTTTCTAAATAAAAGTGTTGATTTTGGACGATGAGCTGAGGATGGAGTAGGACGCGAGTCTGGGAGCTCCCGCCGACTTCGACTAAATTGTTATTCATTTGCGCTTTTTCTTAAACCATATTTCTTGTCCTATTTTTGATTTTTGAATTATTTTGTTGAGACGTTTTAATCGGCTCGGCATAAAATGGCAGCAAAAACCCGCAATACTACTCAAACACAACTGAAGCTTGGTTTGCAAACCGCAGCCACACCCTCGAGTGAGCCGTCGTCTTCTGCAAAGTTTCCATTGTGCCAAGCTAATCCTGATATCGAGGCTCTCATGGTCGAGTTGCTTGCTTCGTTGAGGAATGATATTGCTGACATTTTTAAAAAGGAACTTCAGGACACCCTGGGTGATGCTTTGTCCACCATTAAGTTCGACCTACAGGCGGTGAAGACGCAGCTGGCGATCGATAAAGCTGCCAACGACTCTACCTTGTCCAAGCTAAAAGGTACGGTCAAGGAGATGGAGCATGCACTGACTGTTTGCTCTGATGATGTTGCTGAGATGAAAAATACTATCAAGAGCCTCACTACTCATGTAGCCAAGCTGGAAAACTAGTGTGAAGACTCGCGGCGCAACAATGTTAGGATATTAGGAGTACCAGAGGGCCCTGACACGTCCACCACTGCTGCCGTAGCCTCCTTGCTAAAAGAAGCATTCGACCTGGGGAAGGAGCCGCTTTTGGATCGTTCACACAGGACCCTCCAGCCCGCACCTAAACCTGGCGATCGTCCACGAGCTATTGTATGCAGGTTTCACTACCACACTGACTGTGTTGACATTTTACGACGTGCTAGAGAACGCCGACAGATTAAAGTTGGAGACCGAACCATCTCAGTCTTCCCCGACTACACCGTCAGGGTGGCACAGGCTCGTGCTGCATTCAACACGGTCAGGCAGCAACTCCGTGGCATTGAAGGCGTCCGGTACGGCCTGCTTCATCCAGGACGACTCCGCATCACATACAAGGGTGTTGAGAGGGACTTTGTCTCAGCATAAGAGGCAAGTGATTATGTTAAAACTTTGATCTCTGGGTGAGCCTCAATAGCCCCTTAGTTTGATGCTGTAATGTAACTAAGTGCTCTCGTTAGGTTTAACGCCACCTGTGCATTGTTTTCTTAGACCGCTGTGCCAGTTATTATACTGTTGGTGTGCTGGTTCCTTTTATTTTCATTGTTAACTAATGATACTGAATTATATGATATACTCTAGAGTTCATAGGACTAGGTGGTATGTTGTTAAGCGCACACTGTTATACTGTAGAGAAGTTGGCGAGAGGTTGTGGTTTTTTTTTCCTCTCTCTTGTTCCCTCTCTCGCTTTTATTTTGTATTAAGACGCCAGTTAGTGCAATCACTTCTGTGAACCATTTTTGCTACTTAGGGGTACACTGCTGTCTCCTTTGTTTCGTCTTGTGGAGACTTGGGGTGTGTTTGTGTTGGGGGCTGGGGAGGGGGGCGAGCTGGGGGGTGAGGGGGGGCTGTCCCACTTGGCTCTTCATGGTCACCTGCATCTTGGTTTTGTGTTTTTCTTTCTCCTTTTTATGAATGATTAATGGTAATATAGACCCCAGCATTGCTGGGTCAGGTATGCCTCTTAGGTTTATTAGTTGGAATATCGGAGGTATGAGTAACCCTGTTAAGAGATCTAAGGTTTTTACTCACTTGAAATGTCTGAATTCTGACATAGCATTTTTACAGGAGACTCATCTCCATATTAAGGATCAACATAGGTTATATTGTGCTTGGGTAGGTCAGGTTTTTCATTCAAATTTTAATTCGAAAGCTAGAGGAGTGGCCATTCTCATCAATAAGAAAGTTCAATTCTCTTCCACCAATGTTATCGCTGACGGGAACGGTAGATACATCATTGTTGCTGGCACCCTAATGCAGAAAAAGGTTTTGTTGGTAAACATATATGCCCCGAATTTTGATGATGCTGAATTCGCTAATAGATTACTAAGTAACATCCCCTTTCTGAATACACATTTGCTTATTTTTGGTGGTGATCTGAATTGTGTTTTTGTTCCAAGCTTGGATCGTTCTGGTCCTCGTAATTTGACTCCATCATCTATGTCTAAAACATTTTCAGATTTTATGATACAGAATGACCTTGTTGATCCATGGAGACTTCGCAACCCTACAATCAAAAAATTTTCGTTTTTCTCCCAGGTCCACCAATCTTATTCCAGGGTTGATTACTTTTTCATCGATAGAACTCTCAATTCATGTGTTACTAATTCCGACTACTATGGTATTGTAATATCTGATCACTCTCCTCTGCTATTAGATGTTCAACTCTCTACCTATAAACGTAGTCCTCCACTTTGGAGATTTAATTCTCTCCTTTTGGCTGATAAAGAATGTTGTGAATTTATTTCAAGCTCTATTGAGGAGTTCTTGTTCTTTAATCGGGATGATTCTGTTTCATATTCTCTGCTGTGGGAGACTCTTAAATGCTATTTGAGAGGTCAAATTATCTCTTATTCTGTACGTGATAATAAAAAGATTAATGCCAGGCTTAAAGAACTTACGATGGTAATTAGTAACTTTGATCAAAGTTATGCACTGAATCCTTCTCCAGAATTACTCAAGCAGCGCCTTGATTGGCAAGCCGAATTTGATCTTATGTCAACCAAAGAGGCTGAGCACTTATTACTACGCAGTCGTGGCTCATATTATGAATACGGTGACAAGGTTAATCGCTTGTTGGCACATCAGTTACAACGTCAGGCCTCTTCGCGTGTGATACCTAGTATTAAAAACTCTTACGACAATATTACTACAGATCCTTTGGAAATTAATTCTACCTTTAAAGCATTTTACTCTTTGTTGTACAAGTCAGAATTTCCCACGGATAAAGCTAAAATGAATGAATTTCTTCAGTCTTTTTCAAACCCTGTTATTGGTACTCCTAAGGCCGGGCAACTGGACTCCCCACTATCTGCTGATGGAAGTATTAAAAGCTATTACAGCTATGCAGTCTAATAAAGCCCCAGGCCCGGATGGGTTTCCTATTGACTTTTATAAAACATTTATTGGTAAACTGGCACCATTGCTTTTGTCTGTGTTTAACAAGTCCTTGGAATCAGGTTCATTACCTCCTACTTTCACGCAGGCCACCATAGCGCTCCTTCTCAAAAATGACAAGGACCCAACTTCCTGTGGTTCCTATAGGCCATTATCTCTGCTTAATGCCGATGCAAAGATATAGAGCTCCGGGAGTTGACGTCACGTTTCCCGGCATGCAACAGTTCAAACCGAAACGGCGCCATTTGGCAGGCAGAAGCCGGCAGCTGGACTATTTGTTATTGTCAGAAAACTCAATCAAACGGGAAATATGGTAGATTCCTGTCGTGCCCGAGGATGCAGAACAGACGCGGACGACATAAGGAATGAGCCGTCTACAGGATTCCCCAAGATCTGGAGCGCCGCAAACATTGGATCATTGTAATAAAACGTGCTAGTGACCGGGCTAAAATGAAACTGTGGGATCCCGAGAGTAAAGGTTTTCGCTTATGCAGCGACCGCTTCATATCAGGTACTTAAACCAACGTTACCTCAACTGTGTATGGTATTTATTTTAAATGCATTTATTACGATTCTTAGTGGGCTTCCTAAACTTATTTTGGCGTGGCTTTTTCTGTCTTATTACTCACAGCAACAAATAAACATCACGTAAAACGTTGCCTCGTGATTTCTGCGTGCTGCCGTTTACGTGTTTTATGATCACAGCAATTAACCGGCTAAGCTGTATTTAATTTTTAAGCAATGGTTGATCAATTGTCAGATCACACATAAAAAGCACTTTGGATTGCCATTATCTGTGTCACCGAGACAGATCTCAGACAGATTATGAGACATTCCTGCCTGACATATTTATTTTATTCACGGAAAAAAATCAAACTAGTGATTTCTCTTGGCGTTCAGTTTATACATTCAAACAGCACAGCCCTCTATTTAAACTACTTACATGTAAATCTGTTATTTGTCCATCCATCCATTTTCATCCGCGTATCCGGAGTCGGGTTGCGGTGGCATGTAGCGACGAGAGTCCCTGACTTCCCTCTCCCCAGCCCCCGGAGCCAGCTCCTCCGGGTAAATCCCAAGGGGTTCCCCGGCCAGGTCCAGTAAGAAGTCCGCTCCGACAGCTTCTGGCGTTGGAGCGGGCAGTAGCGTCGAGAGTCCCAGACCTCTCCCCAGCTCCTCCGGCCGGGGAAATCCCAAGGGGTTCCCCGGCCAGGTCCGGTAAGAAGTCCGCTCCGACAGCTTTGTCACCTTTACTCTTTGCCATTGCCATCAAGCCGCTGTCCATTACATTAAGATCTTCTGTATTCAGGGGAATCATCCGTAATGGAATTACACATAAAGTATCATTGCATGCGGATGACTTATTAT